TTTTACAGGCATAAATTTAAGGAAAATTTCGACTAAACGAAATTGAAGTCGGTCGTTTAAAACCGATGTCACGTAATTAATATTACTCTGAGGATGAGGATATTTTTGATGTACTTGTTATTTGCAAAATCTCATTCTTCTTGTTCATTATATAGGGATTGAATGGCGTATTCTTTTAATTCCTATGCCGGTGTCTCGTCTGAAAACCGACCGTGTTATGACTTACAAAGATAAAGTGGATTAACCAAACACAATATACATGTAGTCTGAGGCCAATATTTGTTGTTATTTTAACAACATTTTAAAATTCCAAACTAACGGAAACCCTTCCAGACGTCATGCTGGAGGTCGTTCTAGGGCTACAACGCAGCGCCAATACCGATTTTTGCTCATACAGGCACGGCGTCACAGGTTCCAGACTGTCACAGTTTTACGAAATGACCTCCTGAATGCTTCTGGTACCCGGGTAGTCACTCAGACAGTTAGGAACCGTCTTCATGATGCTGGTTTAAGGTCACGTAGACCAGCAAGACGAGTTCCCTTAATTAACTGCCCGCCATGTTAGGGACCGATTATATTGGGCCCAATCTCACAGCACTTGGAATCTTCAGGAATGGGAACCGGTTCTTTTTACTGACGAGTCCAGATTCTGTATCGACTTCACCGACAGGCGCGTTAAAGTATGGATACAACCTGGAGAGGGGTTCCAGGCAGGTAACGTTGTGGGACATGACTGATATGGCGGAGGTTCGTCGATGGTGTGGGGAGCCTTCGTGGGAAAACTGACCTCCATGTCTTCCATAATGGTACCATTACGACCCGGATTTACTGCCATGAAATCCTTGATGCCTATGTTACACCCTACGCTGGCACTTCATCCTTATGAATGATAATGTTAATAATGCATAGAGCAAGGGTGACTGAGCAGTTTCTACAGCAAGACACTATTCAGCGAATGGATTGGCCAGCCCGCTCGCCGGATCTAAATCCCATCGAGCATGTGTGGGACATGCTGCAGACAGCTCTCTCTCTCTGCAAGAAATGTTCAGCCAAGAACGCTCCAGGAGCTGGGAACAGCTTAGGTAGCTGAGTGGAACGCTATCCCACAAAACCGGATAAGCGATCTCATTCGGGGAATGTGCAGACGTTGTGAAGCTGTAACTGATGCTCATGGGCGTCACACTCGATACTAAAACAGTTTCTGTATTTTTTTCAATTTAAAGTTATTTAGTGAATACCTCGTTGTTACCAATTTTAAGGATAACCCTTTTCCTGAGGCTCATTTTCCTACTGTAATTACGATTTTTGGAATTTGTGCATGCTGATGAAATAAAAGAACAATCAATTTTTCAAAAATAATCACAGTGTAAACCAAATATGATATTTATTTTCACATATGCCCAAAAATAACAGGGATTCTTAGCAAAATGTGATTAGTATATTGCAGTTTATACGAGTTATCTCCCGTCGGCTTATGTGCTCGATTTCATTCACATCGCACGATCTCATAAATATCTGTCGAATCTTTTGAGATACATCCCATGGAATAAAAAAACGTACATCAATACCAGTAGCTAATTAAATGCGAACCTGTACACCCCTGGCCTTTCACTTTTTCCCTCTTTATTTCGAACATTTCTAAGCAAAAATCTGTGAAATTTCCTAAAGTCAATTATCTGCATTTTTTCTCTCACAATACTTTTAGTTGTTCTTGTTGAACGGTTTTCAAGACGTGACAAATTATTCAAACATTCAGCATTTTTGTCTCGCCATTTTGTTCCTTATCTTAACAAAATTTCATAGCAAAAAAAATAATTTTGAGATTTACTTGTCCAGCTTGTAAACGGCTAAATGGAAAATTGTGAAAATATTATAAGAAACAATTCAGACCATATTGTTTCATGACGCCATTTTCTGTTCCGGTATTACAACTGACTTCAGGAAAATTCACTGGAATGTGTTAAAATGTATGAAATATAGAAGAAAACATGCTTATGACCTTTAATTTGGTATGATACTGTACATGTATATATGGCTGGAATCTTGTAATTGTAATGAGCGTTATTTACACTGTTTGACCTTTAACAGGCATTTCGTAGTATTCATTTGGGCCGCAAAAGTGATTGACACGTTTTAAGTCCGGTGAACTATTTTTAAGACGTCATCAGACGTTATGCCTTATTGACTACGTTAACCTCGCTATTTACCATTTTAAAAGCTAATGTACAAGTTTAATATATCAAAATTACAGTTCTAAGTTCCTATTTTTAATTGGGGTCTTTGAATATTAACTTTATTTATTTTTCAACAATAATGAAACAACTTATTTCAACTTATATTTATCACTCTTGTAGGCGCGGATGTTCATAGGAGCCTGAAGTTCTGTCAATAATGAATAATAATAGTTATACACAAAAAATACCCCTAATATGCTCTATTTTTTAAGCATATTAGGGGTATTTTTTTGTATTACTATTATTATTCATTATTGACAGAACTTCAGGCTCCTATGGGATGTTTGAGCGCTGGGGGTCTTTATGTAGGACAAAACCGGAGTACCCGGAGAAATCCGTCGTGATCAGGCAGGTGACACCATTAATTTTCATGTAACATCCGCGGGGAATCGAACACCGGTCGCCTTGGTGCCGAGTGCGAGGCAGAATCTCGTGATGTAATATAAAAATATCGCTCTTTATTTCTCACTCCTTAAAGAGAGAGTCTACAACTTATAAACTTCATCTAAGAAGAGTTATCTCCCTTCGGGTTTTGCATTGTTTATTTAATTATAAAACACAGGGGTTCGTTATAAATAAGTAATACACATTAACACTGTATGTGTGCTGTGACCCATATCAGTATAGCATATGTGTATCAGACTTTTGTAACGAACCCCTGTGGTTAAATCTACATATTTTTCTTCTATGGAAAGTGAGATTTAAAAATAGACTATAACAGATTCATAAAAAAGGCTAACATGTTCAGTAAAGTGCTACGATTGGAACCTTATTAGTACGAACAATTATACAGGAGATGCGAACAAGTCATTATGGAGAAACCACCGCCTTCCATAGAGAAACAGGAGGGACCCAGTATATTGGATATCCTAGACTTCACCTCCTCGAAGGATACACCTTTGTCGCCATATCAGCTTAGTGAGGGAATGGAACTCATTAAAAGGTATGAGGATGTATTCTCAAAACATGATGAGGATATTGGCCATTCTTCCATGGTTCAACATAGGATAGAACTTGAGGATAAAACTCCTTTTAAACAACGTCACCGAAGAATCCCACCATCTATGTTGGATGAAGTGAAAGGACACCTTCAGCAACTTTTGTCGGGGGGAATTATCAGGAAGTCGCATTCACCATGGACCTCTAATGTTGTGTTGGTGAGGAAAAAAGATGGGAGCCTACGATTGTGTGTGGACTATCGTCAATTGAACAATCGAACTATAAAGGACTCCTACGCATTGCCTAGGATAGAGGAAATTTTAGACTGTTTCAGTGGCAACAAGTTCTTCACTGTTCTGGACATGAAAAAAGTGGGTACCACCAGGTGGCGATAGATGAAGCACATAAGGAACGGACAGCTTTTACATAACAAAACAGCACAGGTAACAAACACTTGAGACACACGTTGTCTGAAAATGTGCCTTGTCTACTCCCACGGTTACAGTCAGTCCGCCTGTGAGGATATCCATCTTTTCTGGGGAGGAAAAGGACACATCCTATGATTTATGGAAACATGAAGTAGAGTTCTGTTCACCGCAGTCGGTATAATATATGTCGGTATGGGTTTCTATGTCTGGTCTGGTCTCTGTCCAGTGCGGGAGTGAAGATACAAGACGTACAAGTGCACGAGCTGACATGCAATCACGTGAGATATTTACATAACAAAACAGCACAGGTAACAAACACCTGAGACACACGTCGACCAGACAAACCGGTTGAACGAGTACGAGAATCGGTATATAAAAACAGTTAAGTACGTCAGACATACGTACAACTTAAGCATTCTCACTAAGACAATACTATATAGTTTAATAATTTGAATTAAACTCTTATTACAAAATAACCTAAAAAACATAGCACTGCCACAATAATAAGATAGATCATTTTCCGGACTAATGATGCAGCCGTAACGCATGTACATTCGGATAATAGAGGTTCCTGTATAAGTTATGGTAAAGTCAAGATTGTAGAGGTTCTGCTCTAAATATATAATAGAGATAAAAGCAGGACAGACATATATCAGAATATATACAGAAAACACTGTTAGTCTGTGTCTGTTTTTGAAGTAGAAACGGCAAAACGCTTAGTATTCACTGTATGGGCTGTGTAGCACACATGCATGTGTAATCAGTGTGGACGTCATCATTTCCTGTGTTCACGGAATGTAGACAAGTCACAATACATCTTGTGTATAAAGATAATCAAACAAACATTCGAAAAGGACACGCCAACGAAATATCTTATTTGCGAGTTTGATCTTTTACATTGTTCGAGACGTGCACAATATAGTCCATATGTATGAAAAGCGGTTGAGTGCACGTGTCAGACAGGCAAAAAGAATGATCAGAAATGTAAAACAAACAACAACAAAAACGGAAAAATATGAAGTTTCAAAAGGAGTCCTGGTCAATTGTTCTTTCTGTCTACGGCAAAATAGAAATGCCTTCTGCATACTATTTAATGTTTTAGTGAATATCTCCGTTATGTTTTTCAATTTAGGTTATTCATAAGATGTTTTGAGCCTTCAATGATTAAAAATGATAAACATCTTGTACTTCAAATTTATTCTTTTACATTGATGTGGTACAGACATGAATGATAACACATACATGTTTATGATTGAAGCTGTTAATTTTTCATTTTTTATCTGTTTCATATTGCTATTAAAACTAGATAACTATAGACTTCATCAAATTTTGCGACAAAATACAAAAAATAAATGAACAAAAATTCAGCAATAAACCAGTATATCAATTTGGTTGGCCTTTGGCTTGTGTCGTACCGATCGGGGAGTAGCACAATATACAAACAATATCAATTCTGTATGTACTGAGAATTCAACATGAAGGACGTGCTGTTATTCGTGGCCCTGTTTGTTCTGCTTTTCGGTAAGTTTAACAAATTTAATATATTTACAATATCTAGTGTTTTGTCTTAGTTCATTTTTATATTATTTTCCCCAATTTTCTATACACGTTGTATTATGGTTTGATACTAGAGAAAGATCGCACCATTTGGCTATTATGATATGGGTGTAATTTAACCCCGACTTAGACAATGGAGGTATGAAAGCCCAAAATGAACGTACATAACCGGGTATACATAATTTTCTTAACAAATATAGCTTATTGAAACGATGTAAACAATTTGGAAGAGCTTTCCGCAGCAGAAATGTTTACCCACTTTGTGAGGAAGACTGAACAAATCTCATATACATGGGTAAGATTCGTAAATGCCTGGCCCGAGGGTTTACTGAAAGCAAAACATTTAAGAATGTCATAGAGAGCATTGAGATTGTATCTTTTTTTTTTTGAAAGTGTGGAGTTGTATCTTTTCACAACCACATTTAACATCAGAATATTTCCAATCTTGAGCAGTGATAGTCGATGGCGTATGATTATTGGTGACCGAGACGTATTATGCAATATCGATCCGCAAAACATAGTCCCTTCACACAAAGACATGTGTAACACTGTTGGGCCGCTGATTTGTGCATAAATCTTTCATATATTATATACGTACAACAACAATAATAAAAAAATAATAAAAAAAGCCACTCGAACCTACTTCCGGGATAGGAGAATAACTCTGTTGTGTTAAAAGCAGACATTCATAAACACAATCCACACACACAGTTTTTTTCTTGTGGAGATTTTTATTTATAAAATATCAATATTAAATATTAAACGCCAAAACACTTGTTTGAGTCACAAGGAAAAGCAATTTGAAGTTGAATGTAAATATGTAAATCTGTCAAAAGTTTACAAAATATCAGAATCCCCATGCTTTTTGTTTTTGTGCTGCAGTCACGTGCTACGGGACGACTCCTGCACCAAGTACCGACACCACCCAATGTTCACTGACCGTGTGGAACCGGGAAACGCTTGAAAACGTCACCAAGACAAAGATAAACGTTAGAGAAGGAGCGATGGTCTCCCTCTCCTGTGAGTACCGGTGTCCGGGGGCCGAGGAAGTAGGGTACCCACCCCGGATAGAATGGCTTGGACCAGGATACACCAGGATCAGGTCCAATAGGGGCAGGTAAGGATCCTACCTCTGTCATCATCATATCATCATCATCATCATCATCATCATCATCATCATCATCACATCATCATCATCATCATCATTTTTTTTTCTAGTTATAATGATCGTTGAAATCTCACCTAATTTCATCTTTGGATATAACTGAAGTCGGATTTTGCAAAGGGTTTAAGCGCCGCTCAGGTAGCTCATTTGGTTAACAGTGTAAAGGTCCAGGGTTTGAATCCTGTCTGACCTTATTGCATTTTCAGAATACTTTCAAAACAATGTTTGTTTGGTTTTCTTTTTTCTTTCAAAAATGTTCAGCAAAGGAATGATTTATTAATTTGTTTTTGTCATGCCAGTAAAAACGTTTTAACAATATAGTTCGGTGAACCTTAAAACCAGTCAAAATTTCTGTTTTAACGTATCCCATTGTTTACCTCATGTCTGTCACAGTCAATCACAATTTTAAAAGCAACACCTCATTTATCATTTTAGGATGTTTGTGGTAAATGGAGAGAGCCCCAGGATGAAGTTACTGTATGTCCAGTCTGTGAGTTCCGAAAATATCGGGGTCTACACTTGTCACGTCAGGGGCGGCCTGTCCGTGCACGCGCAGCTGGACATGGGTACGTAAACGACATGAAGACCAGTTAAGTGAACACGTGGGTCAGAATATCAAATCGTAAACAGTTCACTTAACTGGATCCAGATATCTATCTAGGGGG